TCTGCCCACAGAGGAACGGGTGAGTGAAAGTGAGGGTTACTGTTTCATCTCCTCGTGCAAAATGGCAAGAGCCTTGTTCTGGCCCGTGAGGTTCTCCTCCAGGCTCCAGCGGTCCCGATCCCCTCACTCCTCCGACCAACGCCCGGTGTCAAGTAGATACTGGTAGCTCAGTGCTGACTTCAGAAAAGTTTTGCTTTTTGTTTTTGTTTTTCTTTTAACAAGAGATTCAGGTAGGTTTGTGTGTCACTTTGAAGGCTTTCGCTTGCTCAGATAAGGCTACTCGTACTCGAGGAACTGTTTGTGATAAAATAAGAGATACCTGGGAGGGGGAGAAGAAAAAAAAAAAGAAACAGGATAAAAGTTCCGGCAGGGCAAGGAAACATTCGAGCTCTGCTTTCACAGATGTTCAGTGTAAATATTGGGAGTGCGTTTTTAAAGAGCTACATCGATAGTAAACACTCTGTGCATAGGCAATTACTTGGGAAAATGAAGCATTGCTCGACTAATGGAAGGATTATTGGTGATTAGATCCTAACCAAGAGCACTTCAGACAGCTTGTTAAGAACCGGAGTGTTGCTGATCCCTGCCCTCACAGCGCTCCGATTCAATTAAAACAAGACCTTTCCGAGAATGGAAAAGGCACCTCAGCAGGCTACAAGCATGTTCAAGGGTTAGCAGTATGACACAACGAGCAGGGGACGTACCCTTCACTATCTAGCACATCCTTGATGCTGGCCTTGGTGATGATTGCATCGTCACATTTAAACCACTGGTCCTTGTGCTGCCGGATGAAGCTGGTATAGTGCCCGCTCTCCAGTGTTCCCTGATGATTGACCACTGCAAACAAGGAATACCTGAAAAAGACCAGCTGCCTTTATTATCCGCAGGCATGTACTGGGTATTTCATTTTTGCTAGATTCAAGAGATCTAGGCCGAGAGATTAATGGCAGCTACAATTACAATCTGCGCATGGTGCCTTGTACTGTGTTGTTGGCAAATCAATCTATACAGCCCTCAGTGGATGTTGAGAAAGAGCTTAAGGAATAAAACCTTTGGATACGAGGGGGGAGGTTAGAATCCAAAATCCACATGTCGGAGACATGAAGGAACACAAAGAAAACCTGAAAACCCCCCACAGACTGCTGGGAAGCAAAATCCATAAAACGACTTAATTTGGGAAAAAAAATAACATTGAAAATGAAGTCTACGAGACACTGCTCACGCTGGTCACGAAATGATGACGACTTGGCATGCCCAAACCCACAAAGCTACCCCCAGAAAACATTCACGGCAGCCAAGCTGCATTGTGCTCTGCAGCGTATCCATTTTTTAATCCCTCTGCAGCCTGCCACACCCACCTCTTGATTTAAATGCATTCCACATAGCACTGCGAGCTGGGAAGAACACCAACCTGAATTAAAGGTCTATCCAGAGTTCATAAATAGAAACAGCTCGCAGGAGCCCTTTCATCTGACACCGAGGCTGCCAAAAATGTGTTGAGAGGGAGGCTAATCTGTGACTACTGATACCAAAAAGAAAAGAAACAAAATCTAATTGTCTGTTGGAGAGTCTGGACCGATAAGATGTAAGGTGTACACATTAATGTGACCTGAAACTGATGTGAAAGTAAGTTTGCAATTTTAATTCCAGAACAAATTAACTGCAGATCACAACAGCAAGGTGTAATTCACAAATCAAATGAAATTTGTTTAAATAAATGCACTGCGTGGGCCAGGGGTATCAAAGTCATTCACGACTGTGGCACAGATTTTCTTGACATGTTCTTTAAGTTGGGCATATACAGTATATCATACGTTATTGAAATACTAGGCACATTCATTGCATAGTATAATTAATTTGAAGTGTTTTCATTTTTAGTATTTTTAAAACAAAACACCCCTTTTTAAATGCAATTAGCTGTAATGGTGTCTTCACTAAATTTCCATTTAGCTAAGCTCTCATGATTGAGCATGGGATTTGTTTACCATTATTTAATTTAAATACCTACATTATTTAAGATATCATAGTTCAGATTCTAATGCAGTATAATAATAATAATTTTTACACATATATCGCACTTTTCTGGACACTCGACTCAAAGTGCTTTACAGGTAACGGGGACTCCCCTCCACCACCACCAATCTGCAGCCCCACCTGGATGATGTGACGGCAGCCATAGTCCACCAGTACACTCACCACACACCAGCTATCAGAGCGATGAAGCCAGTTCAGAGATGGGGATTATGAGGAGGCCATTATTTGTAAAGGCCAATGGGAAATTTGGCCAGGAAGCTGGGGTAACACCCCTACTCTACTGTTTTCGAGAAACGCCCTGGGATTTTTAATGACCACAGACAGTCAGGACCTCGGTTTTACTTCTCATCCAAAGAACGGCGCTCTTTTAAAGTATAGTGTTGCCATCACTGAATTGGGCATTAGGACACACACAGACTGCAGGGTGAGCGCCCCCTACTGGCCCCACTATGACCACTTCTGGCAGCAGCCTTAGCTTTCCCAGGAGGTCTCCCATCCAGGTACTGGCCAGGCTCACACCTGCTGAGTTTCAGTGGGTTGCCAGTTGTGAGTTGCAGGGTGATACGGCTGCTGGCTGTATATAATAAATAACACAGTGACATCATAAATAACTATATAAATCTGTTGTGTTAAAAATAATATTATCGGGACATCTTGTTCAGTAATTGGCAAAAACAAACAAGCAAATATATATATTCATACACCCCATATACTCACTACCAAACCCTTGATCTCTACAATTTTATGTTTCATTGAAGCCTGCACCTCTTTTCTTCACTGCAAAAAGTCATTTTCACTACAATGAAGCCTCATCCTTTCAGAATCGCTTTCCTTGTGATCTTGCTTATGTACTGATTTTTATTGTTAAACATTCTCCTTATGTTTACAATCATGTCAGCAAAACATGTTGTCAATGCTGAGGGTATAACACAAGCAAATAAGAAAAGGAAAGCATTCCCTCTGGCTGCAAAACCTGAAGCTACACAAGTGATTGAAAAAGGACGAGCAGTCAAAATGCATTTGCATTGTCTTGAACGTAGCTACGCTGTGATTTATGTTTAACATTTCACAATTTTCACATTGTCTAATCTAATGTATTAGGTTGAATAGGCTAGCATAAACATTTTCTTATTTTGACAAATTCAGTACTCATAAGGTTACAAATTATCAGGTATTTTGTACACACTAAGAACAAGTTGTAAACGTTTACATGTAAAGGAAATTTAATTTTCATCTTGCAAAATTTCACATACCAGGTTCACATTTCACATGAACAAGCTACCTTCATAACCCAAGGGGTGGGTGGGATTAGTGATCAGCGTCACCTGTAAACTCTGCCTGAAGTGATAAGACACAGTGACAAGTGTCACGGTGTGTGATAAGTGGAAAGCATCTTACTTTGTTTTGTAATTAGCAAGGTTTTAGTCTTTTCAACTAGGCAACAGATTCAGAAAAAGGCAGAGTTAAAGGGGAGTCACAATGACAGAAAATAAACGCTGGTAACTGAGAACAATTTGCTAAAAATATTGACAGCATAAAAGCGGCACCAAAAAAATTTCTGCAGCTACTGTTATCGCTGCTAATTCACGTACCTATCAAGCATTTCAGATTTCTTTTCATGAAGATTTCTTTGATAACAATTACAGGGCCCCAGTTACGTTCACAAATCTCCTTTGGAGACCACAAAAAAAGTGATGTACAGCACAGTATCAGGTAGACCGAAGGTGATTCTGTCACTGAAGTTGCTCAAAACTTAAGAGTTAGTGTAGCACAAGTTACAGGGATCTATCCCCCCCCCCAAACCCTGCCAAACTAGATCCGTGACATCATCAAACAGGGATGCTGCAGTTTGAAATCCCTGGAGCAGATGGTATGATGCATGTATGCCTCGTCTCATGTCCACTAGGTGGTGCACTTTCATTTATCTTCATATACAAGAAGTGATGTTTTAATAATAACATCACTTTATTAACCCTTTACAATGTCTTGCATTAGGAATTATCTTTTCGCATACCCCAGCTTGCTCTCCATGAGACACACAGATAGGGAGAGAGCCTGGGGTCAGAGCACTGGGTCAGCCATTGTACGGCGCCCCTGGAGCAGCTGGGGTTAAGGGCCTTGCTCAGGGGCCCAACGGAGTAGGATTCCTCTGCCGGCTGCGGGATTTGAACTGGCAACCTTCCAGCCACGGGTGCAGATCCTTAGCCACAGTGCTATTATTAAATATTCTTATAATATCACATAATATCTAAATATCACATAATATTAAATCTTAATATTAGTCAAAGCACAAGCAAAAGAAAACTAATTTACAGATCAGGCTAGAATATGCACATTCTTTTAGCACACAGGATAGTTAGCTCTTACACAGCATCAGAAATTCAAGGCATTTAGGTCTAATACAAAAAGGAAGAGTTACAAAAATGGAATACGTACTTATTGTCATTGTTTAAACTGTCAACTGGTTGCTGATACTGTCCATTCATTCTGCTTTCTTTACTGCAAGACACAGGAGGCAAAAATGATCAATTTCAACAATCATTGAGAACCACATCAAAAGCATAAAACAATTATTGCCATTTCAGAGGATGAAGAGCTATACACTCCCTATCCCATGGTTCGTGGGATCACCACGATACTACCAACATCCCTGGCAGTGAGAGGAGTGGAAAAACCAGGGCCCCCAGGAGATGCTGTCGCACAGGAAACCCACACTCACCTGGAAGCCATGAACGGGGTCATATCCAGCTCCAGAGGAAAGGAAACGTATGTAGTGATCTTTCGCCGGAGCTTTGCAGAGTGCTCGAAACGCTGTGGTACAGACAAACACCGGCAGTGAGACACGTCACACGAGTGTGATTGAATCGCAGGCACTTCTGGCCTGCGGGTACTGGGTTAGTCGTTTTCAGTGAGAAGCCGAACGGAAATTTTTAATCGACTTGGGGCTTAAGACATACTGCCCATCATGCAGTAAATTACACTTTTCTTTTAGAATTCTACGTGTTGCAACTAGAGCGGCTCAAGACACAAAATGGATTAAAGCAATTCAAAGGAGGGTTAAAAACATTTTCATTAAATACGTTTGACAGAAATTTGGAAATCCACATAATTCATGAGAAACAGTAACAGTATTTTACATGCCACTGCAAAGTATCAATATTTAAAACCATAAACCAAATTTCCACAGTGACTGTCCACATTTCTGTTCGCAGGATGACAGAAGACCTTTAGTAATCCAACAAGTGTCGACAAAAATTGTCGTCAAAAAGATAAACCGTATAGATTGTTGCACACACACTCCACAGATGAAAATTTAAATCACAAAGGATCAACTCGTTTTGAAGAAAATCCCAGGGTACAGATTCCACATAAAAATCTTGTCGAAACAGTGTACATTCTGACAAGACTGTAAGAGTCTGTAATTACTCCAAACTTCCACAAGATGGCCTCTGGTTTAGGTTTACCAGTACTGAAATACGGAAGTCCCAGTCAACAGCCATGTTTATCTGTAGATCACCAATGAATTGATCACTCTGAACGTCACTGAACAATTGTACAATTCACTTGGAGGCTCTCCATATCGCAATGATAATGCTTGGTTACAGAACATACTCAAGGACTCAATAAATGTACAAAATAATTACTTTCTTGTGGTGTCAGAAAATGTCGACACACTTGCATCAGATGGACGATATCCAACGACATGCGTTTGTTGTAAGTTCTCGACGCTCACGGAGGATGCATCACTACAAAGGAACAGCTGCTGTACCAATGAGCTGATCCGCTCATGGCCCGAATACAGAACATTACTTTGTGGTGTTAATTAGCCTCCTGCTCCTTGAGAGGAATCTCACACCAACAAGCGTTTGCCAGTGTTAGCATATGAGACCTTGACAGTGTGCCAGCCTGAAGTGTCTGTGCTACACAGACTGCCTAGACTGGCACATCGGTGCCCCTCGCCTGACAAAAGTGTAGGAGAAACTTGTAGATGCCAAGTCGGTAAATAGGACCATCCATTTGTGCTAGAGACTCAGACCAGGACATCACTAGCTTTACAGTGTGTGATAAAAATGTCTATGATAGACTGGTTGACTGCGATTCTGGCTCCAGCACCTAAGTGTGTAACCATTAAGCCATACTGTCAAAGGTGTTACTGAGTCTTCCTTCAAGAAACAGCTGGATATCATTCCTTAGATCAATCAGCTAATAGGAACCAGATAAGCTGGACAGGCCAAATGGCCTCATTAAAATCCTCTCTCATCTCCAGAGATCGCCCACGATGATCCTGTCGTATGTTTGTGGCACGCTGGCATTTTTGGAAGTCTTTATATACACAACCAAGGACTTGAAACACAATCAAAAGGATACCAAAGTCTTTGGTGCTCCTGAAAAACTTTGAAGTGGTACAGATGCGCCCGTGGTAGTAGTGTGGTCTGAAGTTTGTTTGAATCTAGATTTTCAAATACATCACAATACATGGTTGCAATGCTCATGTACGGCAGAGATGGAAAAATTTGTATACGACTCACACAATGCCGTTTCGCACAATTCCACCCTCACCAAATGTCTTTGGAGGGATAAACATTTTCATCTGCGAACAGCTTTGTGTAATCCACGACTGCCCTTTTTTTTTTAATGAGCAAAGATTTCTTTCGAAACCATAATCACGCTGCAGAGTCTAAGCAAAAAACAAAAAGAAGAGAATTATAATCCAGGACTTACTTTGAGATGAAAACAGGCCACTATGGGAAGCTTTTTCATCGTGAGCTGTTTTGTGGATTCCTGGTAACTATGGCAACCACTACATTTGATTTTGGCACTACTTCCGAGATGCTCTGGCCTTGTAAACCTGTGAAATGCAAAGAACTGCATCATTGCATATGAAACGGGAGGGAAATGGTACAATGCGTATGAACAGTTTTAATGAAAAACGCAAAATCAAACAATGAAAATTACAACGCATATCAGTCAGGTCAAACCCCACAATGACGTGGAGCTCCATCGATATTTAACGTAAAGGTAGCGCAGAAGCCCATGTTGAGCTCATACAATACACTGTAGTGTGAGTATAAAAGGAAATTCAATTAGGATGCTCATGTTTCAAACAAGCAACGTATACCAAGAACTCAGCATCGCACAATAACGTGTATCTAATAACGTGCATCTAAGCTGCCTTTCGGCTCCGGGGGCCGTACCTTCGTAGACAGTCCGTTAGCGTCGTGGCTCCCGATAGATGGCTCTCTCCGTTCACCACGCCGCCGTCGCTGCCTGGGCTCAGCGGCCAGAACGGTGCCGAGGAACCCGGGAGGTCCAGACTGATATCCCAGAAGGGGTCTATAGTTGTGGACACACCACTGCAAAACAGCACGGCAGCAATGAGAGCAGGACACGCAACACCAGGAAGCCACAGAATCCCGGAACACGGCAAGAGCCCCCGAACCTGGAAAAGTGGCGCCCCACGAAGCAGTTGCACAGCACATACACCGAGAGACGGTAAATGCCCATTCTGCACCCCTGAGAGTTTTTACACAGAGCGACGTTAGAAAACACAACAAAGGAAACACTTTGTGCTTCAGTGAGAGAGGCGACATTAACGGTGCTGTTACATTCCTGAAAGATTTACTCGCGAATCAAAGTGAATCACATCTTTTATCTCACGCACTGCGCTACAGAATCCTATTTTTCAGAGCTCATGCAGTGGGCACTTGGCGACTAGGAATTGTACTGTTCATAGGTATTCTTGCAATGCTCTGATCTCCTGTCTTTGTTTCCCCATCGACGTGCAAATGCACAAATTGCAACACAGACTTACACATTGTGCAGGTCTTCTGCAGAGAAAAGGCTTACCGGCAGACTTTCAGAAAACAAATTGCCATTTCATTGTAGATTAATGAAATAAAAATACCGAGACGTGGGGCAGAATCTTTTCTTCGCCAATTTTCTTTTTTTTAAAAACAGCAGATCACAGTTTGCTTGGAAATCAATTCATACTGCTGTGAAACATCAATAGCTTCTATTAAGTAAAAAGGTGTTCTATGAAACCTTATACTGAACTGAGGAAAATAAGGTCTATTGTCTTGTCCGTAAGCTTACACAGGCTGCTTTTGGAATCTAAGAGGCGACTTGAGGTGAGCGAGGAGCAAAGCGATTTTGAAAGTTAAAACAGTATGCACGCATATTCACAAACACACCCCGTAGATGAATAATTCCTCTCCTTTACATAACACTTCTCATTTAGGAAGATCTCAAATCACTTTACTCAGGGGACGGAAGCACAGCCCCACTACACAGCAAACTGGGCAGAGAAGTCAGAAACCGCTTCAGTTGCATTCAGGGAGAAATCCAGAGGCTGCAGGCCCAGAGGAAACTTTAGCGAGGACAGCAGGGTGGCCCGGGTGAAAAGGGCTCAGAACAAAAAAAACTAGATTCAAGGCAATTAAATCATTCAGATGCCAATTAAAATAAGCCCTAAGCTCAAGGTCTAAGGAAGGCTTCTTCCATAGGATGCCATACAACTGCAATACTTCAAACTCCCACAAGATGGCCCCTGGTCCAGCTTCACCTGTACTGAAATGTTACCATCCCATCAAAAGCCATTTGCCTCTACAGATTGCAGCAGCCACATTAATCTGATGAGACTGCTTTTCAGAGCAATATATGTCAGCATCAGCCATGGCGATAAAAACACCTTACAACAGCCCCGCAGGGACTGTTTATTTTTAAACACTGCTGCAAAACTGTCTGTCTTCAATGTAGGCTACACAACCCATGGTATACAAATATATCAGAATACATTTGCCTGGAAAAAAGAGGACACTTTGCTCAGTCTGTTTCATTTGCACTGGAGATCCTAGGGTTATTAAAACACTGCCGATTAATGGCTAACCTGCCACGGATCGATTAGATTTTATTACAATACAAATGTCTGAGGAAAGGTTTCTCAGCACAAAAAACAACAAATAGCACTGGAGTTCATTAGGATACATGGAGACAGCCACTTATTAGTAAAAAAACCAAAAACTACTGCGATTCTTGAGGTTTTACGATATGTGAAGCTACTGTATGTGCAAGGAACCTGATGGACAGAACATAAAACTTAGTCTTTTCAATCTGTCCGGGTTCTGCTACAACATGTATGATATTCCAGAAGCAGATCAGCCCAAATTTTGGATTTTAAAATTGAGTTCTAAAAAAACTACAATTGATCTTGTACTGGAACTCTGGACTATGCCCACTGCATGCCTGTCTACTAGTACAGCCCAGATACAAACTACGGTACACCCATGTGGGTAACCAACTTCTGCGTTTTTCGTATTTTAAAGACTGTCCTCTAAAAAGACCTTGATTTTTTGAAAGTATAAGCAGTGTAAGGTTCCACTCAAGAGGCTGTCAAAATAGGAACTATCACACAACTAGAACCAAGGTGAAAACACGTTTTTGATACCAGGCTGACCTCTTGCTAATATTTAGACTGTAACACTAAAAAACAATGAGAGAAGCAAAATTTACGTCTGGTGCTGTAATTACTACTGAAAGATTTATTTGCAGACTGAAGTAAATTAAATCTTGCACTTCACATATTCTGCTGCATAATCCAGTTATATTTATCCTACCTCAGAGTTAATGGAGGGACACTTGGTGATTAGGAATGGTACTATTCACAGGTATTCTTGTAATACTTTGATGAAGAGTACATTGATAAAATCAGTCATTTAATGGAAGGGGGGTCAGACGCACAGATGTTAACATGCATGTACACACTGCGGAGAAGTACAGGAAAAGCCTTACTGGCAGACTTGACAGGTGACGTCAGACTGCAGTCCACCAGTGAAGATTTGGTCAATGATGCAGTTGCAGTGGTTGGGGTTGTTGGCCTTTTTCCCGTTGTCGTCACCTTCAAGAGGAAGATGAAACAGACAATGTCAGTGAAGTGACGCGCTGCCCTAAGTAAAACAGGGAATGGAAAAGCGTCTAAAGAAATAATCAAGT